CAAAAGAAACAGTTGTATATGGAATAAATAGAATCCTTGTTGAGACTATTATTTATGGACGACCTTTGAGCGACGTTAAAGTGACCTTGAGAATGTCCACTTAATAACTAGGACTAAATGAGTGTTATAAAGCAGTTTGAAGAATTAGAATTATGATTTACAGTTAATAGTTATGGTTAGGAATTAGATATAAGGTTTTCATCACGAACTGACATTGGCAAAAATGTCAAAACTCAATTTATCCAAATGGATGAGTGAATTTTGCACCAAAATCCGAGACCTACTATCTCATATCTCATTGGTTTGTCCATAAATTATAGTCTCGCCGAATTACCTATAGAAACACTAAACTATTATAAGATTAGATTTAGGTTTGTTATACCCACGCATAAGATGGATTTAATAATGTATTGATAAACATATTTACAGAAATAAATTTGTAGGTAAGAAATAACTATTTAAATGATAAAAATGAATTATTTAATTCGTCTGAAATTTAGAGCATGAGTAAATCATCTAAGTGGATTTTCGTTAATCTAATAAAAAAACTTATCAGGAAAATAAAAACAAATTGGATAAATGATTTTAAACATAAAAATAGAACGAATTATTCTCTCTACCGACCACCTGTTCAAATCAATTTTATTTTTTTGCATTTGAACTAATAGAGAGAAAAAGTCGATAAACAGAGATCAACCAGTTAATGTTTTATTTTAAAATAATTAACTCTTGTGTTTCTAACCGGAACCGATTTATTATTTTGTAGAATGTCTTAAATAGTAAGAAGTAATTAATATTCATAGTTTTTGGTTGAAATCACATGAAAGTTTGGTCACAATTGATTGATCACTGGGTGGTGACCAATGTCATGCGTGTCTAGTCCTTATTATTAGTACACATCGAATGCTACCAATCAAGTTGCAATGTGTCCACCAGTCTAGGTGACTCGACACCGCGTGCACTATGTTGAGATTAGATGGTGGTTGGAGGTAGTCGACAGGAAACCCTGGACCCGGGTTTTGTGCTACCTGCCACTCGTCAGCAAGGTGTACCTGTAATCATTGAGGGAACTGGTGCTCCCTGGCGGATTCGATCCCGTGTCACCCAGCTTCACAGTCAGAGATGTTACCACTGAGCTATCCAGGCCACGACCGACCTCCTGTAGGACTGAGATGTAATCAAAATTGATTGATCACTGGGTGATGATCAATGTCATGTGTGTCAAATCCTTATTAGTGCAGATCGAATGCTATCGACCATGTCGCAACGTGGCCACCAGTCTAAGTTTGCATATCACTCGACGATTTCTAAATTCTGACAAAATCAACAGTACTATTCACTTATATTATTGTTTCATTGTGCTTACCAATATTTCAGTATTCTGCTAACTAGGCAGTTGTTGAGATAGCGATACTAATTTATCTGACTACTTAAGATATGATAATGGAACTAATTCATGAAATAATTATTAAACCACTTGTACATCTATTCTTGGAAAACTAATTATCCTAGTTAAAAGTTATAAAATCATTATATTAGAAAGTTTCACAATCGGCTGTTCATGGACAACGTAAGAAGGTGAGATTGTGTATTACTTCAACTGGCCATCCCTTAGAGTAACACGGGAGAAAGTTAATAGTATGAAATTTAGATCTTCAACATTTTAATGCTATGCATTTGAAAACATGAGTTTTGACAGAAAAAGAGAATATCGAACCAGAATTTTGTTATTCACCACGTAACATAAAACGGATATTCTTCATGATTTGAGATTTTTTCAATATCTTCATAGACATTATTGGCTTTATTAGCTGCTTTTCCAAACAATAAACATTTGTGTTGTGTTCTCCCCAAGTCGCTACATGATACTTCATTCCACACTTCATGTATACCTTGATACCAGTGTCACTGGTTCCTCGTATTGTATTAAAATTATCGTATTTACTAAAACGAGATAAATTCAAACATTCATTCATTTCCAGCTCTTGAATACAAGATAATTTGTTTTATAACACTTTAAAGTAAATATTTAGCTTCCATTTTTCGGAAACGGTATGCATAGGATTTGCATAAATCAAACAATTTTTTATAATTTAATAATAAACACTAAACCTTAATAATTTTTATGTGGGGAACATGATGAAAAGCACAGAAACTGTTTTAAATTCCAGAATACTTAACTAAATACGTCTAGTATTTAAACTGTTTCTGAGAAAGCGTGATTGAAATTAATTTCGTTGAATTTTTACTCGATATACAAGCAAACTTATGTCCAAGGTATTTATGCGCTTTTACTTAATGCTTATTCCAGTCAGTCAGACGGTGACTTCATTATTCAAATAAATTAAACTTTGTGAATAAATTCAACAACGAAAGTGACCCGAACCGTGGTCAACATTAGGTCAGTCATTGCCAAAACCCACTGATTTCTAATGCTTGCAACACCAGATTTCAATATGAAAATCAATGGTTCAATCTTATTGATTGTATAAAACAATTGTCTCATGTCTCACTAACCCGTGCTCATGTAAACTCAAAAACTTAAATTTTTACATTGTAGTGTCTGTTTTTGAAAATTTAGTATTTAAGATGACTCTTCACTAGTAACCAAGTAACTGACTCACTATTGCTGTGAATAATATGAACATTTCGCTTCCATTTTTCGTTTTTTTATTGTATTAAAACGACATATATTGTAAGGGCCTCATATTTAAATTGTATATACACGCCTTTTATCAATAACATCATCATTTCCACACCACACCTTTAGGTTATTCAACATAAATACTTTTTTTAACACAAACGTGCACACGTATAAAAAACGTTTAACATGTTCAATCATGTCATTTATTACAAGTATAAGCAGTGCACAGAAGAGAAACACTTCATTGATTTTATCTTTTACAAACTTCTATCTTGGTTACTCCTTAAAACAAAACAAAATAAATACACAATAGTTAATGATTTAGTGCACACTTATTATTTGTTATCATGGTTAATCTATTACTAAGCATGTTTGTATGTTTCATTCATGAATTGTCTGATGAACGACTAGTAAATGTTCATTAATTGTTAAGTTATACATTTTTATTGCTCTTATTTTAAAAAAAAAAGAGAAAGTGAGAAATGAAAACAGAGTTCATTTTAATTTCACATTAAAATCGGTTTAACTCTTCATCATTATTTTTTAAATATAAAACGTTTGAATGAGATGATGAATTTTTATGTCAGTAATAGAGGCTAACAATCTCAGGTTCCAACAATATCGTGTTAACGAACATTAATGTCTAGATTTTAAAATTGAAATAGATATGACGAAGATATCGATAATGCAGTTATATTATTCATTATATTGTAATGAGTTTTGTATATTTCCAACCTCAAGTTTTAGCTGAATTATTTCGACATCAACTCTACTTAGTGTTAACAAAAGTAATATTTACAGAAGCAAAGCTTAAGAAAATAGTCATCATTATTAGATATTTTGAACTGGTTTGCTTCAATACTTACATTAGCTAGTAACAATTAAAGGTTTTAATAAAATAATATACAGCCCTATGCTAATTACCTTTTTCAATTTGCTCTCAACTATGAGAACATAGCATGAGTTGAAAGTTTTGTGGGCTTAAGCCCAATAAATCTGTACAAAATACATTTGGTCAACAGTAAGATGTAAATCGTTACACTGAAATCACCAGTAGATTTCACTTAGAGCACCATCGAAAGCTTAGAATACTCAGCAGTTCGCATCCACGGTCGCGCGCTAACGCATGACATCTCGACCACTGAATTGACATCCAACAGTGCTAATTTTTAACTTTGTTCAGTCCATAAAATTGCATGACCATCTTTCACTGTCTTTGGTGGGTAACTGTCTCATGCTCGATACGGTTTAGCCCCACTGGTTACAGTATCTCACTAGAACTTCGGAAAATTCCTCTCAAAGATAGTCACTAGTAGGCCCATGGTCTAGAGTTTAAGTGTTCAAATACAAGATAGAAAATTCTAGGTCCTGTTCGTAAGTGTAGGTTCGTGGATTCGCACTGCTGAAGACTCCTTTACTAGGATGAAACGGCCGTCCAATGATTGTAGGTTTTCAGTGATGGTCAAACTTAAATCAGATCGTGATTTTGATGAAACTTAACAATATCTACAACACCATTCTAACGATGAATAACTACGTTGTATAGCTAACTGTAAACTATGTTATTATCTATAAGAATCCATTTACAATTTGTCTGTTGGTGTACAACAGTAGTTTGAGACATTTCATCTTCTTCAGTAAAAGATGCTCAGACAAATCCACCCGCCTTTTCATTAATTTTGAAAACATAAAAATAATGTTTAAATATTTAGTCGGCAAAAAGTAATTGTGTAGGCATTTCCTTTTTCAGGTGATTCATGCCTTCAGCTAACTGCTAAGAAATGTTTGATGAATTCCACTATATTAAGCATGTTGCTAAATTATATACTTATATACTCTATTTAAGATTTTTATGTAATAATGACAACCAAGTTAGCAGAAATAATTCTGTTCTTTAGTTTATCAACACTCAAAATACCAATAGACAGCTACCGTAATGTTTTATCCGCTTACGTAATCCAGCAAACAAATAACACCTCAGGAATAAGATTTTCCTTTTTCGGATTCGATTAACCTATTACCGAATTCTATGACTAAACTCATTCTTTTTAGTGTCATTTAATATTTCTGCTACAGGAAGGTGAAAATAAATAGAAGTGATTAGAATTTGTAGATTTCTGGGCTTGTGGACAGCTTAAAACGCAAATGGAGGCTACATTTGTCGAGAGTATTTGTATTCTGAACGATTCTGTACAGAAAATTTTTACAATAGTTTGTTTATATAGCCAAAAGTCCCTAAAATGATTTCAGTGTTATTATATTACAGTCATTCAAATGGAAAAATCTATGTTTAACTGAAAACTACAATTTAATGTAAATCCGAAATAATAATCAAATGTCTTGGTTTTCCATTCTTGTAAGATTTTCCACAGCTCTTGCACAATTAATTGTGACATAATTTTTCAGATTCATTTTTAAAAGTCTTAAATAGCAACTAAAAATCACGAAATAGGTACATTTGTTGGGTAATTTGAAACCGTGGTTAATTCCCAACTTTAATATTTAAACTTTTCAGTACTTGTATAAAACAAAACAGGACATTAATTTTCATAACAGGTTTTTTTGAAAAAAGCCATAGAACCCTAGATTTGATTCTGAAAGATAACAGCTTTCAAATTATAAACTATATCTATTTAGGTACCTAGATCATTTAAATTGAATCCACATGGACATCTGACACAATCAGTGCCCATACATAAAGAGTGATTATCTTAAAAAAAGCATAGAATCTTACCCAGTTCTGATAAGTAAAAATGATTCTTTACTTTACATTATATAGAATAGTGTAAGTATTAGAAATCGGTGCGTGAAATAGTATGCCAAATAGCTAAGAACTCTAGAACTCTTTTGTATAATTTACGGATTTTATGAAAATATAAAAAACCTAATGTTTATCCTACCAACAGTTTCTAAGCTATTTGCATTAAGATGTGTTCCATTAGAAGTATTGACGAGAATCCTTATCCTGTCAATCGTCTGGTCCGTTAATCAAATATATGTACTAACAAAGGAAAAAAATAACAATATTTTAGAAAAGTAAATGTTTTTCAACAAAAAATAAGTATTATTTGTCTTTGTCTTTCTGTTTTGCTGTCTCTTGACTTTTAATTTGCCAAATCTACTTTGTTCTTCGTTTTCCTTCTGGCTTTTGCAACACCTTTCCGCTATTTATCTATTATTTCTTTTTCGCCACATATTTTAACGTATTTTCATCCTATAAATAAACTGACAGGTAAATTTAACTCAGTAACTGAGTAGACAGATCAAAAATACTGGAAACGTAGTAATGGCCATTTTTGAAGTCATATATAAGGAGAAAATAAAATGGAATTTAAAAATAAGCAATTCAGATAGAAGACAAAAGTTAACGGTTGGGGGAGGTATAGTCATAAGGAAGACAATATCACTCTGACCACTAATAATCCCATAAACATATTGTCATTTCAATAGGTCATACAAGAAATCAAGTAATGAGAATGAAGTGCTGTAATTGTTTTTTGTTTAAAAAAAGTAATGAATCATAGAAAAGGATCTAGGCAAATTTTCACAAACAAGTTTTATTTTAAACTTAATATAGTTATGCGATTACACAATCATTCAAATAAAAGATGAAGAGAAATTCGCATCAAACCAAAATATCTAGGCAACTGTATAAAAAATTTAACAAAGTAATATGGGTTGGAAGATAAAAATTTACTCTTAAGCAGTGCTAAAAATGGGCAAATAAAAAACAGTCTCATAACTAGATTTTCTGTCATGGTTGTCAAACATTTTGTTGTATGATATGAATTAGAGAAAATAGGATGGAAAACAAAACAGGGAGAAGAATCACAAAACGACAATTTGACAATAACGAAAACATTTAGTACAGTAATATCAAATATACACATCGTAAATGAGTTTAAAATAAGTCTACTGTAATAGTAGAAGGGAAAATATTTAAACTTGTTTTACATCAATTCACACAAATTTATATTATTTAAAATAAATAAAAACAAAATTAGAACACATTTGTTATGTATATTGAACATACAATAACTGTCATTGTTATTCATAATGAAAATTACTGATATAATTGAGAATAACAACAAAGATATTAGTCAGTATGCATGATGTAGATTCGAGTCGATAGTACAGGCAGAAATTCTCACCTTTAATAACTCTGACAATGTACTCTTGTGTCATGGATAGTGTCTATGAAAAAACCATATCAAAATATTTTTCTTTTAACATAGCAGTCTCTATTTTCCCTACCCAATGCAGTAGTAATAATAATTCTAATAATACAAGTTCTGAGCAAAGTTTAGTAGAAAATAAAAGCATAACAAGTAACTATGAGGGATGTTTGAGTAAGTCAAATTAATATACATGTAGTACACTAAGAGAAGACAAATCAACTTGTTAGATATTAAGCATTTGCATTTGTGATACGAAAGTACTTAAACTGTTTTTGATTATTTAATGAAAGCCTGCTGGTAAATTAAAAATCACAATAATTAACAGCTGCTATTTGTCATGGATATAAGCAGATTTTGTATTATTTGCAGCAATGACGTCATCTATTTATCGAAAAAGCAAAATAAAGCACAATATTTAGTATAACAAATAGTTATATACTAGTTGTATATTAAATGTTTCTACGATTGACAGTTTTAATCAATTCTGTGAATTTAAAAGCTTTAAAAAATGCAAATAATTGGTATTAATTTATCTATGATTAATAATCAGGAAAATAACGAGGACTTATTTCACAGGTTTCGTGCTTAAACATTGAATAGTTTACCATTAGACAACAATAACAGATTTACATGGCACAAACCAGAGTAATTCTACGAATGCAATCATCTAATACTTTTTGTGCCTGAAATATGGCAAATCACAAAAACACTTTTCTATGTGAAGAAGTTTCGCCTAAGCCTACCAAATACTTGTCTGTAGGAAGATATTTTTCTTATGGCTGAAAACAGTTATTTCATCATGTAAGCCAATTTGTACCAACGGTTCAGACAAACCCTATTGTTAATTAACACTGTTTGACTAATAAATTATATTAATGATCAATGTAACAATAATGTGTAGCCGACAGTAGTATTCGAGGTCGATGAACGAAACAACTGAAGCGAGTTAACTTGATACGGTAATCCGATTCAATTCTTTTTTCCTCTTATTTTACTTATTTCCTAATACAAAAACAATTCACACTTTTCATACGTAGGCCCATGAATATAAGTATAAAAGGCCGTCAATGCATCTTTTTTGAACATGAAAAAATAGGTTCCATCTAGAGAATGAAAAGTAAAATTCACTTAATCCTATGAGAAAAATTCTCATATAAGACCAAAAAATGAATAAACAACTTACTCATTGATTACTGTCTTAGGTATGGATGCATTCGAGAAACTGTGGATGATGTAGCTTGCAAGGAGCGTAATTTAAGTGGTCCTGTAAAACATGGTAGGTTGACATTTTTAAATAACAAGCATGTAACAAATGTAAACAATCTGGAAAATTATTTCAAAAGTATGGTTTCCCGTACTTATCAATGCTGTTATTTGCATAAAGCTCAATAAGTACCCTCTATAGAATATTGCAGAGTCAAATAAAAAGATCCTAGCCGGTAGCATGTATAAAACAGTTACGTGTGAATTGAATCATGTACTTTATGTACAGATTACATCTCTGATCACTTAATTTTCAATATTTCAAACTCTATTTCTAACAGTTTTACAATTACTTACAATGCTTTCGACGTTGCTATATTTCTTATATCGTCTTTTCTAATTCTATCATATTGATATTCACTATGATATTTCGCATCTGGAAGCAACTTCCAATTCCTTAGACAAAGTAAATTTCGCAATAATGACCTTAGCTTACAATCCATTGTATAAACAACTTCAGTTTTGTATAAAATTTTTCTTTTCCAGTTTTAACTGTAACAGTAACAATCGGTCATAAGAAAATTTTATCTATTCCAACTGAGGTTCTAACAACTGCTTATTGACTTAAACATCAGATATAACTGGTATTTTATTATGAGTTAATGGCTGTGCGATGAAATCTGAAGTATTTGAACGATGACTGTGTGTAAAACAATTAAATTATTCAATGTATTTTATAAAGAACAACTGACTAGCTTAAACTTGTTCCTACTCAGATAATACACTTGTACATCAAAGTATAGGGCAAAATAAACGATTACATACAGTATGACTTATTGGCATGGAATCATATCCGAAGGTCACTGAACATCCAGTAGCTTCTGCTCGTTATGATACTTGAACACTTAGTCAATAACCCAATCCTAATCCATTGTTCAATAATAGACTGTGATCTGTTTATAATAATTATAAATACAACTGTGAAGCTTCAAAAAATTATAAAATCATAAACGTAATTTGTTCTAGCATTACTTCCATTACTAAATGAATTTTCTGTTTGCTTAATAAGTAACTCAGATTTATTAACACTAATAACAGGTGTTTTGTTTTCACTAGGTTTGTTCATGACTCTATTATACAAGTCTGTAAACACTTTTTCTGTTAAGGTTTCTAAAATTTGAACTTACTGACAAAACAAAAAGTTACTCCTGGAACTAACCTGTCATATGTAAGTAACTATAACCCTATTCCTATACTAAGCAACGGTAATAATCTACGAAATAATTGGGAATTAGCACATCCAACTAATAGACATCCTCAGCAACTTTACTTATATCTGTAAAGTCTAACATTGAACTGAGACAAATATTAAGAACCTCGAAGTTCACCAAAAGCATCGGTAAAAGCTTTAAACAAATTTAAGAACATATATTTTAATACATGTTATCTTTAAGGATGTAAGTTTAAACTTAAAACTACCTGAACCAGTGTCTTGTGTATTTGATGCGCTGTTGAACTCTAGAATATTTACAGCATCTGCAAGTGATGTATGTGAAGTGATAGGGTAACTATGAGCACCTGAGTTTATATTAGATACAGGATTATTCGCGTTACCATTGCATAACTGTAAATTTGAATTACTTGCACCAATACCTCCTGTCCCACTTCCACTAAGGAGAGCAGCTGCAACAGCAGCTAACTGGTCATGACCTTTAAATCAACAAAATCATACGTGTTAAAAGATTTCAACATTACTTGTACTCATATTAATAATATAAATTTTAAATTGCTATATTCATAATGGTGGATCGGAAACATAGTCAACTATTTTACGGAAAGAATGTATACTTTATTTGCTTTTACATATTATTGAGGATAAAGTGTTTATTGTTTTGTACGATGTTCTAAACCATTAAAATCAAACCTTTACTTATTGCTTCTAAAAGGTTATTAATAGAAACGTTATGATGTCATCAGTAATGACTATACCCAGATATTATCTGACGTCTTTATATTTTGCAAAAGTAAGCAACTGTAGTATATTGTGAATTATTTTATGAGAATTAAGTGTGTTTCGATTCAACAAAGTTGATCTTAAATATGAAATTTACTCTTGGATAAGCGAAATAATACAAAATTGTATCCTCTGATAGCTTACAGAAGCCAAAAAGTGAACTCTCGTATTTAATTATTAAAAACTAATTGGAGAAAATAAATCTGGATAATGTGAGTGAATTATATCACAACACTTTCTCATCTTGACTATGTGATACTGATGGACTAGCTTTTGCCTGGATTATAAGCTGTTTTGACAATGTTATTAACCATCAGAATGTACTAAAATGCTGTTTACATGTAGTTGCGAGTTATCTGAACAGTTTAGATCCCAGACTTTATCGAGAATCGACATTATGAAGTTTGAGTTTCACGGTCCATAAATATTGTATAGTGATCTGGCCATTACTGAACTTAGATAAATAGACAAAATTGATTCATTTTTCCGACAACTTACTGGCTGCATGCAACGTAGAGCCGATTGGCAAGGATAAACCAGAAAGTCCATTCCCGGTAATACCGCCAGCGATTTGGCTTAAAGGAAGAGTTAGATTAAGTTGTCCATTATTTGTAGCTGATCCTGTACTGACAGCTGCAGATAAAGCTGCATTTGCCGTCAAAGGATATAAAAGTCCGGATATATTATTATTTGGTAAATACGTAGATAAATTTGCTGAGCTAAGAGATGGGATAGAATGAGATAATTGATTATTTGGAATGGAATGTATTGAATTAGCTTGAGATAATGCAGAATTCACTGTCCCAGGAAGTAAACAGTTTGTTGCCAGTGATACAGGAAGTACCTGAGTTTGAATCTGAGGTAAAATATTAGTTGAAGAATATTTATTTGATGGTAATATTTGAGCTGCGGCTGCAGCAGCTGCCGCTGCTGCAGCCGCTTGATGATTTAACACAGTAAGTGACTGATGTTGTAATATAAGCTGTTGGTGTTGTTGGACTTGTTGAATATGTGCTTGCTGACGATCCTTATCTGAAATTAAAAACAAAATATTATCTAATAAGTCTGTCATTCTAGGTATACACATACTTAGTTCAATTAATTAAACCTGTTAAATTAAACCCACAAAGTGACTTCACCGAAATTGTATTTTTACAACACCAACGTAAAAAGTCAGAATAGAAGAAACAATTGTATAATAAGCATCAGGGTAAAAAGGCAAGGTAGCGGTTTGAAAACATTCAACACATGCAAGAAACCTTCAATCATCAGGCTAGTTTTGGTCACCTTTATCAAAGAAATTACCATACATACAAACATCGTGAAAATGATATTGATGAATGTTTAATTGAATTAAAAATGACTCTATTCTACATCTACATATTTTCCACTTGTGATTATAATTCATGTATTTTTATCTCGTTTTAATTATTCTTAAAACTACACGGCATTATTATAGGTGTTTTTTTAAAACAATAAAATACCATTGGTTTCCATAAATAGTAATGAGAAAGCGTAACAATTTTAATTAGCTATGAAATAGTAAACTTTTTAAATAAAAATCTTTAATGATACATTTTTTAATGTTGAAATAACAGGCAGACATAATGAGCAGATAATAAGGTATTTATTAAACCCTTTAACAGCATTTCGAAAAATCTATAACATACAAGTTAATTAACTGTTTTTTACTGACGTTCATTAGCATAATAATTACTACTGAAACTAGCCATGGCTTAACTAATTGAAAAAAATTGTGAACTATTTGAGTAGATGATCTATAATTATAAGAAACCAACACAACATATCTTCTCAAAATTCACGTGATTCCATCAAGCAGTAAAGTGTAAAAATAAATTACAGTCTTTAAACATGAAGTTGTACCATGCCATTTACAGTAGCTACTAAATGAACTTTAAATAAATTAAGTTGAAATTATACTAAAACATATATTAATGATACAAACAAAACGAAAAATCTAGCTGCAAGTTTTCAGTGTCACTTGTTAATGACAAGTAAAACAATTATCTCATTGTACAATAATGTTCATCTCTGTTCACTTCATTATCTTAGATCATATATAAAAGCATAAATCAAGATAAATCAACGTTAGATATTAGTTGTAAGCGGTTATATTGACAAGCTCACAATTAGAAATGCTACACAGCTTCATGATTTATTTCACACTAACAGAGTATTATTTGTTGTGTCGTTAACTACTCAATCAAAAAATTTACAAAACGTTTATGAAAATGTATTTTGTTCTGTCATTTACACACACAGATAAGTTGTTACAACAATTTCAACATCATATCATTCGTTTCAACCAAACTTTCGGAAGTGAAATGAAAATTCAACTAGTTTACTAAATTACCTAATTACTACCGCTGTTAACTGTAGATACAGAAAATGGTTTATTTCATTTCTTTTTTTTTCCTAAAACAGGAACCCTAGGGTTTAATCATAGTTTCAACTTTATTTTCTTGACTGAACGTTCTATTTTACTAGTGATGATATACTAATTTCTTTTAATTAAGTTCGTTTTTTGGATAGATTTGGAAATTCCATTCAGATTTTACTGAACAAGTCATTTACTAGATACTTTCTTCAAGCAGTTTTACTTTTATATAAATATCACGTAATAAACCGTTTGTGTGATATTATAGTCAAGTGGATGTCGTACAGTGTCGTTCTTTATATCATTTCTAAAAGACCATATCCCATATTTCCTATAATTATTCAAAACTTAAACGACGTACTTAACTAGAAGTACATCGTTTCCCATAGAATCATAGATTTTTACCCGAACCATCTTTCTAAATTACCAATTATCCCAAACTTGTTCACTGAAATATAATCCAAAGCCTATTACTATTAAGATTATGGCCTCGTAGTTAAGTCCATTGACTAATGCAGTACATATAACTAATATGAAAATTAATCATGTTTACTGGAATAATTTTCAATAGTTAATTTTGGGTCAGATATCAAGATTAATATTGTGTTGTTTTGTATAATTTCAAAATCAACTTAAACTTATCCAGAAACATGACTTATTTAAATATGTATAATATATATTGTAGGAGAAATGAAATCAGTTGTTTAACATCCTTGCCTTAACTAATATCATATAGTAAATGTTGAAATTATATTTGAATAAACTCAACAACTAAAATCCAAATAATTCCAATCATCGTTCATTTTCTTTTAAGAAGTTCGAACTAGATTGCCGGGCGAATTGTTGGAACTATTTGAATTTTAATCGGTACGACCGACCAAATATAATGTCTATTTTCCACGTCTTTTATAAACTTGATATGTAATTTTTGTCAATATATTCGTTCACTTTTGATGAATATTAGTATAAATAATGTGATAATAACGATCACCTGCTTATAAACAGTTGATGATATGTGTAACTTCATGCAGAGAATAAATCGGAACTTTCCCACAAAACATTATAGCCAGAATTTAAGTTCAATATTAGTAGGTTCATATAAGTTTTAAAATGGAAACAGTAGTTAACCAGCCCTTTTACTTCGAATCCTTATTTCAAAAGTTTCACCAGTCTATACTAATGTAAACCAATTCATTCCAATGTAAACACGACACTTTGATAGACAAGATCGATTTACTTTTGAAAACGATGTAAAGTAACCTAAAGCTTCAAGCGTCAATAGAACAAAACCCGTAATTAGATATTCTATTACAAACAATAAGCTTAATATTTAAACATAGACATCGTCATCTCGACTACGCTGTTAGAAACAAGCGCTTATACACTTTAAATAATTTGAAAGGAACGTTCGCTAATTATCAGGATTACAACTGAGCAGCGAGTATGTGGGTCGGCTGCAAAACATTATTCTAAAGCGAACGTTTTTGATATTTTTCAAGCTGATACCAATATGGAATGAGTGTTATCGTCAAACAACAGAAATATTCACAAGCTGCAAAAATAAACACTAATCAGTACCATCCTGGTAACCAACTTCTAGATAGATTCCCTAAAGTTTCAGTGGGTAGTTTAATTTAGAATGAGTTAATCGATCGCCATAAGCCTTAAGTGATTATCATATATTGTTAAATGACTGACGTTGAAAAATGATAACCATTTAATTCTAAAGAATAACCCTATCTCTTAACGTTAAGATTTCGAATTAAGTTCGTTGTACAAGCATGAGTGTCCACTACTAGATAATCCCAAAATATGGTTGTTGTTTCTCAGCCGTCCTCCAGCTTATCTCAATTTTACCATCAGTTATGCAAAATCAATTAAAACATGAAATTGAATCACATTACTATCGTACATACAATTCTTTGAGATTCAATATAAAAACCTACTTTCAGAATATATTTACATTTTTTGAAATTAAAAATATTGATGAAATGAAAAATGATCTGTGATTTATAATGACTAGTAGAATAATATATCACCAGATATCAAATATTATTCAAGGTAACACAAACTTTCATTGGAATCTAAAAAGACTAAAAAATTATCCCATGTTTAACTTGCAAACAAATGTGTGAATCATAAATGCAAAATAATTTAATTTATTGTTACCTTTAGAAGAAAATTTCTTCTGAAGCATTTTGAACTGTGAAAATATATCTCTTGGTGATTGTATAAACTGAATAAATGAAAATATTTTTGTAAACTAACGGTTTACGGTTCATCATATGGGCCGCACACTTCATTTTAATTTATCAGCACATCAAAAGTTAAGATAAATAGTATAATTTCGAGTGGATTATATTGATAAACACAATCATGAATGATGTTTGTAAATTATTTTCACTATTCAAATGATTTGCACTAACTAGAAAAATGTCCAATATATGTTTACCTCATAGATGATAAGTTAGCTAATTCTAGAATCACTGAAATAAGAACTTGTGTCATTCGAAAACCAACTACCAACTTTATGTTGATGGTGTTCTTAGTATTATTGCATTTTAAATACTTCTTACAATTTTTCTTTATTTGGACCAAGTTTGTAAACTTTTTAAAATCAAATATTATTTTTTTAGTACAACGAACCATGAACAGTTTAAAGTGGAGAATCGGGTCAATGTCATATTTATCATATTCACGTGTACAGCAATAAACAACAAACACAAGTTTAATAAGTTCAGTTTCTCCTAATTCATATAAATGTGATTAAAATTTTTTGGAACAGTTGAACTATTAAAATTGAGAGTTGAAAAGTGTTACCCATATACAACCGGTATTAAGTCATTTCTATTTTTTTCGCCGGAAAGAGGGAGTTTAAAAAATTATTCTCCTTATAACTTCATATTTCGTGTTGTTTGATCTGATAAGCATATGAATATTTTCATAGTTCGAATTACAAACTGATACTAGTTAAACAACCATTGAAAACCTAGAGTCACTAGATGGCATTTTCGTCCTTAACATGCATGACCTTGTGTGTAAGAGTCAAACCCAGGATCTTCGGTTTTGCATGCGAACACTAAACCTTTAGATATTTGAGCTAGTATGCAACGGTGTTGTCTAACTTCAGTCAATTCTGGGCTGGGTTCTCGGATGTGGAATTGTGAATGTGCACTACTGGGGAGTCCCACAATAAGAAATGCCCTCCTTTCAATAATTCTATATTTCCAGTATTCGTTTAACTATGATCTATTCGCGTCTAAACTATGAAAATTAATATTTATCAAACAGTGATGGCAGGATTTTGAAGATCGGAATAAGAATAAAATAAGAGAAATGAAAACTGCTTCATACTAACTAATATGAAATTGAGAATCCTTGAACGTAAATTTTCACATTTTCATATTCTCATTTCTAATAATTTATACTGTACGTTTTAATCGTATTCGAACTTATAATGAAATCTCAGTACATTATTCTACAGAATAAGAGTAGAAGAAAAAACCGTTAGCTTCAAGGGCTTGATAATATATTAGCTTTCAATAGCCAGCTTGAGCTTTAATGGGATTTGTAAATCCCACAAAGAACAATTTTTGAACCACGAGAATGAAAACACTTCAATCTGATAGAGTCT